GACAACTTTACACAAGACCAAGAAACTCCTTTTCAATAAGTTCTTTTACAGAAAACATTAAAGCAACTGCTGCTTCTAAGATTATGATGTCTTTCACTATTAGTGGGCTATTCTTAGAAGAGAATGATAACAGTAGACAGACATAAAGTCTATTGTAGTAAAGGACCAGGATTATGTTGACCAGACCCAATGTACTAGGCAGGTTATAGTATCCTTCACAGCTGTGCAAGCTAAGCTTAAAATAGTGAGTGACTCTGTAAAAGATATTACAAATACTATCTCTACCTTCAATACTTCATCTTCTACTGAGATAAATATATGCTATACTAAATTCTTAAATTAACATAACTTATCTCAAATCACTGAACCTGTTTTACTTAAAAATTTATTCAACATCTACATTTAAATAAATTTTTCAATTCAATAAAAATATTTATAAATTTCAAAAAAACAGAATCACATATTTACTTAAATACTACAAACCAAATACTACCAAATTATACAGAAATAGATCTCTTTTTTACAATACATATAGTCATTTACTATTATTAACATCTTTCAATTAGACAATTCCTAACACAAACTCCACTGATCTCTTTAAATCCAATCAACCAATCTATTTAAACAATTCTACAACACCTCCTCTCACTTCATCAATAATTACATCTGAATATACCTCTATACTAATTAAAATTGAATCAATAAACATAAATGGTCTTTCTCAATTTAACAAGAAACTTTCTTTAATAGAACTTTTACAAAAAAACAACTTAGAAATTTTTGAACTTTCTGAAACACATTTGTCTTCTAAAGAAAAAAAACTTTAGTAACCAAATTCAAAATTATACCAGTTTCTGGAGCTTATATACAAATTCTCATCAAACTGGTGTCAACATATTTGTATACAAAAAAATCTCCAAATATATTGCCAAATCTCATGATTACAATAAACACATAATTGGACTCAACTTCTACTTCAAAAACACACCTATCAGACTTCTTTAAGTATACTTCCCAACTTATGAAAAAAAACAACTTCATAAAGAAATCCAAGATTACTTAATTTCTCTTACTCAAAATAACAAATATAAATTAATTATTATAGGAGATTTAAACAGTATCCCAAATCCAAAAATTGACAGATCTTCTCCAAAAAAATCATCAATTACAAAAAGCCAAATAATTCAATACTTAATTAGCTTCCAATTTAAGGACATCTATTGCATTTTCTATCCTAATACATCAAACTTCACTTTTAGTCAAAACAATATATAAAGCTGAATCGATCAAATATGAACTAACTTATCTATCACTAATATTGACTATACTGAAATTCTCTTTATTGGTATAATTGAATCTGATCACCAAATCATAACTCTTGAAATCTCCATTATAATCAATAAACCCAAACCTCATAAACAACATAAGTGTAAAGCCTTTATCTGAATAAACTGTACTAAAGAAAACTTTGAAAACTACAATAAACAAACTACCAAAAATCTTCAATATTTATCTTTAATAATCTCTACAATCTCTAACCAAAACTAACTCAATACTATATAGAATAAAATTTACAAAGCTTTAATTAAAGCCTCTACTAAACATATTTCTTTCAAAAAAATCAAAACATTTAAAGAAATTTCTAACTTCCTATCACCAAAACATTTACTACTTTATTACTGTTACAAAGAAATTCAATTTTTTAAAAATCATATAAACTCAATTAATTTTAATACATTACTCACCAACTACCAAACCAAATATCCAGGTTGCATATTTCAAACATTATCACTCTTACTAATCCAAGTTAAAGAAGAATTTCAAACTATCAAAACTGCACTTAACTATTAATATCAACAATCAATCTATAATGAAATCAAAAAAAAAATAGAAGAATAAAACAAATTCTTTAAAGAAACAACTAAACTTTTCTATAAAAAAATACTAGAAAAATATAATAACATTCATATAGATAGACTACTTCTTAACAATAACCTTCTTATAGAACATGATGAGATACTAAATGCAATAAAACTTCATTTTACTGAATACTTCAAAACCAAATCTCTTATAACTATTCTATTAACATCTAACTTCTATTCTTTCTAAGAACCACATTCTGAACTTGAAATCCATTATTAAAATCTTACTTATAAAATTACTAAACAAAAATAACAAAATATTATCTCCAACTTACCTAATCAAAAAGTAGTAAGTTTCTTAGAAATCTGTTATGAACATATAAAATATGCTAGCCCCAAAGCACAAAACATTTTTTGACTTTTTTTAAACAAATGTTTTTATCTTCAAAAAATCTTCTCAGACTGGAAATCTTTTAATATCTTTTTAATCTTTAAAAAATCAAATTAGAACTATACATTAAATCAAATTCATCCAATTTCTATAATAGAACTTTTCAAAAAAACTTTTACCAAAATATTCACAAATCGATTGATAATATTATTTCTTATAACAATTTTTTATCAAATCTTAACTTTACAGCTTCAAAAAACTCCTCTATACATCTTCCTATATAAATTTTACATAACACAATTGAACATTATAAAACTACTAACAAAGAAGCCTGAATTCTCTTTCAAAATATATTCAAGGCTTTTGATAAAATTAATATAACAAAACTTCAAGATACTTGTAAAAGAATAGGAATTCCATTAACAGGAATTAACCTAATCACAAAACTACATTCTCATCAATTTGCTAAAGTAATTACTGCTTACGGCCTTACTTTACAAATATTAATTAACTCTGAAATTAAACAAAGTGAACCATATTTACCTTTTCTATAGAAAATTTACTATGACTCTATACTCTACTTTATTCAAAAAAAATAAAAAACCACTTATTAAAAATTTCATGTCAATCTCCTATTGATATTATAACAAATACAACATCTTCTTCAATAACAATTTTGCTATTGGCTTTTATGGATGATATTACCTGGCATTGTGGAAATGCAAATATAATGCAAAACATTATAAATAATACCTCTGAATTATACAAATTCAACAATATAGAAATTAATACCACCAAATCAGACCTTCTGTATATTAAACCCAAATTTATATTAAATCCAACTCCCACTCTCTTAATAAATCAACAAAACATTACACCTAGAAAACCACAAGACGTAATTTGATATTTTAACATTTTTATAATGGCCAAAGATTTTTAAACCAACTCTTGACCAAATTCAAAACAAAATTAAAAGCTTCTTTACTCTGATTCAACACAAAAAAATAACGCCTTCACAAATTTCATCACTTTTCAACTTAATTCTACAATCTTCATTAGAATACCTACTTCAAATTATTCTAGTTTATACAAATACACAAGCTAAATTTTCTTGCCTTTTTACTATGTATACTAAAAAAATGCTCTCTTTAGCAAAAAACATTAACAATATAATCTTTACTAATCCACTCACCTTTAATTTACCAACCTTCAATAACATTATTCAACAAGTCAGTGCAGCTAATATTGAATGAATATTTTTTTTTTTAAATATTAAGATGAGTACTTGCGACCCAAGATTTTATTGATAATATATTTGGCTAATAGTTGCTTTACAACCACAAAGAGCAATCATGAAAAGAGTATACAACTAGCCACTTATACAACTTAAGTCATTGTTTAATTTAAGTAGCCCATCTGAAGGTTCTATACTAGCTGCCATACCTGGAACCTACTTGTAGGTTCCCTATTTAACCACTCTGTTTCTGTATTCACCTGCCTACCTCTGCCTACCAATGACTCTGGCTGATGCCAGTGAAAATATGCCATGGCTACTAAGTCTTTAAAGCAGTTCTTTGGAACCTTTGACCTTGTACTAAATCTTCCAGAATCTTCTGTATTCCATTCTTACAACTGACCTGGTATCACTATGGCTAAGACTAACACTGGTGGTCAGAGCATACCATTAAACCGCTATGTCCTTGTAGAGTTCATCCTAACTTCAGTATTTACTTCACAACATATCCTTACTACTTTGGTATTTAATTCAAGTTCCACCAAGCTGCCATTCCAGATAGCCCAGAAAGGTAGGGCGAGACCATACCTCTGGTTTATATGTTTGCCAGCATGTACCCTTTTTCTCTGGAACCTGAAAATTCTGATGGCTTGGTTGGTTCATTCGGTCCCTCTTCAAAGACCAGCATATTTGCCCGATTTCACAAGTTCTAGCTCCATTTCATAAGTCTAGTCTTTACAGTAGCACTGTCGAAAGCTCAGGTTACCTCTCTACTCAGGTCTTTCAAATGGGCTTCTATCTTTCTTCTATTGGTTCCTATGATTTACATGGACACAAGAACTTATTGTAGGTTTGCACTGCCTACTACTGGTTTGCATTCTTTTGTATAACCACAAACCTTGTCCTAAAGGACAATGTCATGTAACTGTTACACAAATGCCATGTGACCTGCCAGTCATGCTAGTGTGATATAGATTACAGGTGTCTTATCCCAACCAATTGCAAGAGACAGTTAATCGTAACACAGGGAGGATTTTTAAATTTTCTGTCAACACTAGGATTTGAACTCTGGACCTGCCATTTGGGTGTTAACAACCTAACCACTTCACTAGGTTGCCACACCCCTACCTAAGTTTAAAACATGTATAAATATAATACATAGTTATATAATTTTATCAGTCAATTTCTTTAAATCTTACCTTATTTTAATATTTATTCTTATTAATTCTTTTTTATATATATATATAAATTCATACTTTTTTTTTTTATTTTTGTTATAAATTGTAAACAAAAAAATTATAGGTAATTTTTTTTTTTTAGCAAAAACTGAATTCAGTTTTTGTTAAATTATTTAGTGTTTTGTTTCAATTTAATTATTATAATTAATTAGTTTTTTAAATTTTTTTTAGCATGCTATAATAGTAATGTAATGTGATATATATACTTATTGTCCTTGTACCATTCAGATGAACAAATTCAGCTAATTGAATTTATGAGAGATGAAGTCATAATTATGTATTTGGATAAAACTAAAAAATCTTTTAATTTTCAAATTGTAGAATCAAGTGAAGATAAGATGAATCTTAAAACTAAGGCAGCTAACAAACTAGATATGGTACTTGAGGTTAGTGAAGTACCTAGTCAATTAAATGACAAATATAAATTCAAATTTGATGAACTAAAAGTGTTATTAAACAAAAATATAAATTAATTAATATAATATTCTATACTGTTTATATTTGCTAATATAACTAATTCATTTGTTGTTAAAAAGATGAAATTGAGCAGAATTTAGATGATAATAATAATTAAAATTCAGAGAAGAAGGACAGTAAAAAAAGTAATAATAAAGAAGAGGATGCTAATATGATAGAGAATAACTACGAAGAGAAAGTTGATGAAATGTATAAAAAAAAGATGAACTATGTAGCTGAAGAGGAAGTTGATGAAATGTATAAAAGAGATATTAAAGAGGCAGACCAGATAAATAGAATAAAATTTGAAGAGATAGAGGATGAAGAAACTAGCATCATAGAAAAAATGAGAAAGAAAAAAAGTAAATGCAAAACATCAAGAAATAGTGGTATATATATGGGTTAGGTGCTATAGAAAAGGAGAAAATCACCAAATTTTTTAAAATTAATATTTTTATATAAATTAATTTAAAATACAATCAAGATCATTTTTTACTTAAAACACAAAAGTAGTTTTATTAATAAAATTTTGCAGTACAGCTCTTCAAAATTTATAATTTCTTATAGCTTATTATAAAATTTACAATATAAAAATAGATTTTCTGAAGATCTTTTTTTTGTTGATTTCTCACTTTTTTATAGCAACTAGCCCATATAATAAATAATTAAAAAAAAAATCAAAAAAATCAAAAATAAAAATTAAATAAAAAAATTAAATAAAAAATTAAAAAAAATTAATTAATTAATATACAATTTTTTTTTTTAGAATTAATGATTAAAACTGCAAAACAAATTTTATCATTATGCAGTTTTGAGTCTACAAGATTTTAATGTATAATGAAAGAATTTAATTTGAATATTGTAAATTGTAGTTTAGCACTAAGTGCAGTAGCACATAGATCTAATTTGAAAAAGATCGAAGTATTTTTCAAAAAGGAAAAAGCAGTATTAAAGAATAAAAATAGACAAATCACTTTTGAACTAGCAAATTATGAAGTAATTAAAGAAGTGGTCAATAATCTTGAATGGCCAAAATTTATATATATAAACTGAGATAATAATAATCTGACAGACACTTTAGGTTTTTATACTGAATATGAAAATTCTCTCAAAAATGAACTTTTAAATAGTAATAAGCTTAAAACAGTTAATTTATATCGTGAGATATTTTTTTTTCAAAATGGATTGCCTGTAATAGCTTTATTTTTTGAGCTCAGTTCTGAGATCAAAAAAATAGAGTACTACAGAAACATAATAGATTTTCTGAAAATAGTAATCCAATAAAAAACTTTACCTATCCAGTTCAATTTGATACTTTATTAATCTGTGAAGCTTTCAAACTGAATTTATTTAAAGAACAAGAAGTAACTCTATTAATAGAAAAACAGGAAATATCTCTGCTAATAGAAAAAGCTAGAAATATATAAGATGCAATCTTATTATTAAGAAGGGTATTAGAATTACTATTTAGTCTTAGTGTTAATTATTTTTTAAATTATAATACTGAAGTATCTAACCAAATATCAATATTCTCAACACTTATGA